CTGTAAATGTGTTTTCGGATTGTCTATGAATAAAGCTAACTACCACTGAGAATTTTTTTTAATTTTTTTGTTGGGTGTTTAATGTTTATATGGCGATCGTTCGATTTATTCCAAATACTCTATAACCTAAAAATTAGATTGGCAATTGGATTGACATTGAATCTGGTGGAATCAAATCGGATCCAAAAATAAAAAAAGAGACAAAATAAACGGAAACACTTAAAATAGGGGAGGTTACACAGAAGGACATTTGAAGCGTGATTCGCACACGCATGTGTAGGAGAACACGGTAGCATTTTGTATGATTTTTTTCAGGTAAGTTAATAATTTCTATTCTAGTTTTATTTTATTTATGCTGATTTATTTTATATTTTTCCCTAGGACACCCTAAAGTACATAATTATATTGTATAGAAATGCCTCTTTACCGTACTTTTTTGATTGAAAATATCAATTTTAGAGAGATAGAATATATATATATTCTGTTAACAACAGTGAAAAAAAGTCCATTTATGCGTACGACATAGAACGTACTAATATCTTACCCCCCAAAACTTATAGAAACTTTGCTATAAAGATGTCAGAAATTCTATGCCATCACAATACCTTACCAAAAAAGTAACACTAAATTCTTTAAGAAAGTTTTTTATCAACAGTGGCAAAAAATATAAAAATAGTTGCCAAATTTAAATAGTTTTATACAAAAGATTATTTAAGGGAATATTTCATTTTTTTACCGTTGATATTGGTGTTCTTCTACCTTTATTCAATGGTATCACGCATATCCATTGATATGTAACTTTTAAATTTAATCGCTCAGGCGAATTCGAAACGCAAAAATTAAATTTCTCTTTACAATTTTTTTTATTGAGAACTGCATCCAATTATTTTGGAGTTTATTGAACACAGAAATGAATTATGTTTACACGATATTTTAATGAAACTAATATAATTTTACAGGGGGCAAGAAAATCAACATCAAGGATAGACCAATGGCATACGAGAATTAAAAGATCTTGGTTTTTAACGAGGGAATTTATTCCACTCTTTTCCAAGCACATAAATTTGCATTTGTTGTTTTATTTGGGCGTACAACCAACTGGTTGCAATATTCCAGCAATTGAAATAATTCGCAATGGAACTACTCCAAGTCCGTTCATAAGGCGAACGGCTACAAACAACCACAATGTGTTGTTACACTTTATTTTAATGAATCGACGGGGAGGATTTTACGTGGCCATTGCATATGCAGCTCGAAATTTGAATGTCGGTGAAGAGCTTGAAGTATTGTAGTCGGAAGCACGTATTACCGCTGTGAAAAATATATCGGCCATGCATGTGAAGACATACCGGAAATAAAAAATCTAATTTCCGAGGTGGATCCGCAGTCATTTGATAGTGTGCGCAATTTATGCAAGGAGTACAATAAAGTGATTGACGCGATCACTGGACCGGTAAGTCGAATGATTTTATTTTATTTATTTATTTGAATGTTCAAATGAACACAATTGGACAAACCCCAAAAAGTTTAATTGAGCTCTCATTTGGATCTTTTCTTATTTGTCAAAGCCGAAGAAGATTTTTCAAACAATTTCTCTTGATATTTATTCAAAATAGGGAATGTCTTCACGAACGAATCAGTTCGCATCTCGTGAACTTTCGCGTCGCGTGATCGCAATGGTATATGCTTTGGTCGTGGATGAGCCGGAAAAATTAAAACAATACCAGCTATTTTCGTCCGAAGTGGTGAATCGACCTTTGATACGATTTCTCAAATGATCGATAAACTCGAGATATTGACCAGCGATAGTTTTATTGATTTGGGATCGGGTGTTGGGCAAGTCGCCGGTTCACTCCAACTAAAATCATGTGTCGGCATTGAACGATCCGAATATCCATCAGGATATGCACGGAGGATCGAAACAAAGTTTCGTTCATGGATGCGCTGGTTTGGAAAAACTTACAGCAATTTCGAATTGGTCAACGGTGTCTTCCTGGCCGATGAATACAGAAGCAAAATCAATTCAGCCACGATTGTTTTTTCTAATAATTTTGCCTTTGGGCCAAAGCTCGAAAATGATTTGAGGAACGCTTTGTCGCCGAATTACCCGACCATTCTTCATTACTTTGTTCGCTGAACTTTCGTTTGACGTTTAGGTAATATTTATTAAAAATGAATGTTTACAGATATTTATTTATGTAGATAAACATGAATCTGCTTACTATTATTTTAGAAATCAAAATTACATCGGCGCAATAACGAAAATTGAATAATTATTTTCGGGAACAGTCAGTTGGACGAGCAAGGTTGTGCCGTTCTATTTGCACACAATCGATCGGAAGAAGAAGGTTCTGATCAAACGATACTCGATCGATTATTTGAAAAAAGTAAATTTATTAATAATTAAAATTATAATAATAATTATTTATAAAAAATATTTATTTATTTGGAAATTTTTATTTTTTTTTCTAGGTGTCCAGATTTCTCATAAAAAACGAGGTGAAACGTTCGCAGATTGGATATCGGAAGATATTGAAGAAATACAAAATAGATTTCCGAACATTCAATTGCTTGAGCGTAGCTATAAAACGGTAATATTTTTTAAGGATTTTTTTTTTTGTTTTGAACTATTAATTATTTAAATTTAAATATTAAATCCTTGTAGATCTCGGAAACAAAAAATGTCTAAAAAACGAACGTTAATCGCCAAAGAGATTAGCAAAATGAATATGCCGCCACAGACGAAGCTCCCGGCATATACCAACATTGAACCCATTTTTCGCAATTTCATTGTCGAAAATAGGTTGGGACGTAATAAAGAATCCTTCAACCAATTCATTGGTGAATTTGGCAAGGTAACCAATCGGAAAAAAATTTAGAGTTGGTGCAGTGCAATCTTGAGGTAATTTACAGTCGAAAAAAAAGCAAGAAAAAATTAAGGATTTACTATAGCGATTTTCAATCATTTTATTACAGAACCGATAAAAAGGACTTGACGCTGGAACAAACAAAAACAAAACCGAAACATCAATAAAATTTGGAAAAAAACTAAACGCTTACGATTCAAATCGCAAAATAATTTTGAAGAGATATAGTCTCAATAAAATGAATAACAGATAAGTATTTATTTAATTCCATCTCAATATTTGTTCATATTTATTTTTTCCATGAATCGCTTTAGACTCTGCCGTATTGTTTTGTAATATTTTTTCTCATCTTTATAATATTTTGTCACTACGAAACTTGTAAACTTTTAGTTTTGACAGCCCATGAACGCACTATTTACATTGACGTAAACAATACAAAATATTGGAGTTAAAATTATTAAATTGATATATTTTTGCTCCATATTTAAATTTATTTATTTTTCTATAGTAAAATGGCAAAAATATTTAAAAATATTACGTTATTTCACTGATCTATAATATTTTTGGTTTGAATTTCACAATGATCCAAATACGACTTTAACTGTCACATCTGTCAAATCCAAAGTATTTCACTTGAAACTTCGGTGCTTTATGTGTCGGCAATTGGACGATTTATTCCGGAATAATGTTACAGTGAAAAATGGAAAATAAATATTATTGATTTTCTTTATATTTTCAATATTTCTGTTCAAAAGTTAATTAAACTATCTACAATTCGCAGACATTATTTTTTTCTCAAAGTAGTTATGTTTTCATATTAAAAAATTCATTTTACCGGCTTGTCTCAAAATGACATAGTTTAACTTTTGACGTGAAAAAGTGATAGAAATGCCGATTTTTTTTCGAACGTAATTTTTGAAAGCAATTATTGATTTTTGATTAAAATTTGGATTATAATAAAGAGATTTGATATTGATCTTTCATAATTTAAGTTCAACTTTTAATTTCAATTCACCTCTCGGTATTCCGACATTTGGTCGTGTGTCGACATTTGGCAATGTACTGTATTCATAAAATGTGTGAATGAAATAAATGACACGACACAAATCGAATTTGGTTTCTATCTCGACACGAGATGAGAGTTTCATCAGCGAATGCAATGCGTTGCTGATCTTTATTCGTATCACAGAATAAATGAAATCGAAAATTGAAGCGCCAATAAAATGTAGGTGGTGCTGGCGCTGTGTTACTGTATCATCCAATTTACTGACAACCGAATCAATTAAAATACATGTTGTTTATTCAAAAGACACCATTAATTACAATTGTTTCATTTTAGGACACCGGCCTATTCACAAAGCAGACAGAAGCTGAAAATGAGGAAATTGTATGTCAATTGCCTCGGCTCGATTTTTCGCAGATGATACCGTACAAACCAAAATCAAATCCATATCCGTATTGGGTGGTGGAACCTTCCCACAACCACCGGCTTTGGCTTTACTTTGTTCTCAATTACCACCGCCGGTATGCTTTCGCGGTCCGTTTGTCGCAATTGATTCGCTTATTCAATCGTATCAAATTGCCAGAAAGTAAGATACATCGAAGCTTTCTGGAGCATTTAATTTTTTTTTCTTACAAAAATTCAACTTTGTTTTGTGGTTTGTTCACAGATTCACCCGTTCCGAATGCCAGCGATAATGGATGTGATGTAAAACTATTTGATCTGGCCAAATCGGTACACTGGATTGTCGAAGATAGTGCGTATTCGGGCGAAGATTTAAAATGAAAAATGCTGCCAGTCAATGATGATAGTGACGACGAGACAATCGCATCAAGACCACCACCAGCACAAGACATTTATCGATTGAGACAACAGAAACGTTTTAATAAGTCCTAATTTTCATATTTGTATTAGCCAAACAAAATTGCATACATTCGTTATAACAAAAAAAAAAACTTATTCAAACTTAATAAAGACTTCATAAAAAGAAAATTCCCCGAAAATCGGTGTTTACTATTTATGTTTTCAAATAATATTTGTTTTTAAATCGTTCGGTTCATTTGTTATCGGGAATTTACCGATTCAGTAGCAGCTGTCAACAGCAAACATTCCACCGTCAGAAATATTGGTTATGTTCAATATTCGCACACGACGCAGTATCGTTGTTATAGTTTTGAAAATGATTCGAGGTTTTGTGCATAATGTTCGGAATTTTTTAGGTTCCAAACATTTTTTACAGCCGCATCTAAACCAATGTATGATTAAGCGATTACAATCCACCGAATTGATCGAAAAAGCTAAGAAAGCTTCTGAAAAATCAGAAGATGAACAAATGGAAAAACTCAAAAGATATCGACTTGCGGAGGTTTATACGATTTTTCCCATAATTTTGTTTTTAGACGAAGAATAAGTGAATAAAAAGCAGTAACTATCGTGTGTTTCTAGGTACATCTTTGGCATGGATTGAATTATAGAAGCATAGATCCGGAATTTCTCACCGAAGACCAACTACAACACCTTTGTGGACTCGATGCGAAGCATCAAAGAAAGAGATATTGCAGATATTTATTAGTAAAAATGGAAGCAAAAGCCGAACAGAAAGCAAAAAAACAAGCGGCAAAGGATGCGAAGAGTGGATTACGTGAACAAGTTCAAGCCACACGTGCATCAAATCCTCATATAGTATATGGGGTTGGTCATAATTCGCAATTCCTTCGTATCAACAGCCAATCAATCAATAAATGGATCAATCGAAAGTAAGCAAAAGAAAACAAAATCCCATCATTACCGATAGATAATTTCTGTTTCATTTTTTCTTTGTGCAATTAGAATGTTCAGATCAAAGTTGTATGGCCAAAAGTTAGTCATTGATTTGTCATTCGAAAATCATATGACGGATCTTGAGCGAAGTAAATTGTCTTCCGGTTTGAAGCGAGTTTACGCCGAAAATCGAGCGCACAAAAAACCAATGGATTTGCATTTATGTGGTGTACCACCGGATAGCGTCGTCTTAAAATCACTTTGCGGACAAATTCCAACGTTATTGAGTAAAAAATCACCGACGGAAATCCATTCTGAATGCTTTACAGAACTGTTTCCCAAAGAACGACTGGTCATGTTGACGCCTGACAGTGACAATGTGCTGGAATATAATTTCGATGACATATACATAATCGGTGGAATTGTTGATTTTGGACGTAACGAACCTTTGACAATGGCAAAAGCAAAAAAAATGGGCATCAGAACAGCCCGATTGCCACTAGATAATATGCGATTGAAGGCAGGCGATTCACGAGAACTGCCAATGTCGTCAGTGGCGGCTTTTATACGCGAACATCAAGTTAATCGAAATTTAAAGGAAATCATTGAGAAATGTGTGTATTTATATTCGAAAAAAGGGAAATTAATTAAAGAAGTAGAGGAAAGGCGACGCACAAAACATGAGGCGACGCATAAAACACCAGAGGACTAAGTAATGACATTTAATGTATTTTTATGTAATGGAGTAAAGAATTTAAATGAAAATATCAGACCTCTGATAGTAACAATGTAATTAAAAGTTTAATTTCTTCGTGCGTAAGCTAATCATGATACATGATTTTCATTTCAAATTTACCACGAGATCAAATTTAACCTCACTTTTTCAAAAAATAAAATGCTCGTACTGTCAACACATATGTACATGTCAAAGCAGAGCCATCACTAGCAAAAACTTCATATCAGACAGTGCAGCCAAGCAGAGTAAAGAAAGACAAGAGAAGAAAAAAAACTAGGCAAATTACACAGCGATCGAACGACAGCGAAGAGAAAATTCACAATTTGGTTGTCTTTTTGTTGTTGTTGTTGTGTGGTGTGTTAGCTGAACATCTCGGATCTGGACAGATGGTTATAAATATCACGGGAGTGTAAATACCTGCCTGAAAATGATCTCAAACAATTATGTGATTTAGTTTGTGATTTAGTATGTGGAGATATCCACGATCAGGTGAGTGCTGCGATTGATATAGTGATAGTGTAAATCGAACACAGATGACATGGATAAGAATTTCATTTACAACTGCAATCCATACGATTCCGTCAATTATGAATGGGTTTCATGTTTCAATTGGAATGTTTCTTTTTAATTCTCTTTTTTTGTGTGCAATGCACTCAGATGTGGAATAGACAAAAAAACACTGAATAAGAGTGTCATGTACAGTGTGTGTACAAATTGACTTTACAGACAAAACATCATCAGCCACAGATAAATGTCATCCATTCGCATATGAATGATTGTATTAAATTTTTATTGTAAATCATGAAATTACAACAAAAGAAAAACACTAACTCAATTTACTCGAGTGCTTTGATGATGAATTTACATGCCGATAATTTAATTCGCATGACATCAAAATTTCTATATTGTGGGGTGTTTTGCACTGACATTTACTTTTGACTTGATATACATTCTCCACTTGAGTTATCACAGAAGCAATATCATGGTTAATTGATTGTGTTAGTGCTACTGTGTTTCGTGCTAAAATTGGATGCTAATCAACATTTTGCTTTCTATTCCATCCGTTTTTTTGAATCAATTTTCTTTTTAGTTTTACGATTTGGAAGAGACGTTTCGATGAGGCGGCCCAGTATCCGATACAAACTATATATTTATGAGTGATTTCGTTGATCATGGCTTCTTTAGTTTAGAAACAATGACTCGACGATGAAGGTATGATGCTGAAGGTATGACGCTTTTGCTCTTAAATAAATGCAATATAATAATAAATGAAAATTCTTCTACTTAATTAAATAGGCACGATACCCGGACAAAATAACACTTTTACGCGGAAATCATGCATCGAGACAAATAACCAAAGTGTATGGCTTCTATGATGAATGTTTAAGCAAATATGGCAACGCAAATGCATGGAAATATTGTTGTCGTGTGATTTATTGACCATTGCAGCCGTGAGTAAATCATTTTTTTGATTTGAATTTTATTTGAAATGAACTTTCATGGATTTTCTCTCTGTGTGTCTCTCTTTGGTTTCATATCACAGTTAATTGACGAGGATATACTGTGTGTGCACGGTGGCTTAAGTCCCGATATTCGAACATTAGGTAAAATTCGATTATGAAATATGCTTTAAATAAAAAATAGTAATAAAAATGATGGAATTTTAGATCAAATTCGGATGATTGATCGTAATCAAGAAATTCCGTACAAAGGTGCCTTTTGTGATTTGGTATGGTCAGATCCAGTCTGGATGCGGTCGATGCATGGGTCCATTTGTTTTATTATCTTCCGGTGAAAATATTTATCGAATTTGTTCCAGTCCTTTTGCGAATTAGTCTTGCTGAAACTGAAAAAAAAACGGGATTTTTTTTTTTTAATATGAGAAAATTTTGAGACATTGGTTAGCTCTTCTCTTGCTTTTCACTCTCACTTACATTCTTTGTTGTGAAAAAACGTGAGCGCGAGTAACATCGAAAATTCCAAATGTCGGATATTCGTCGTCCGATTCTCGGCTCCCAAATCTCGACATATTTCATGAATTTCCACTGCGAAACTTGAACAACTTTAAGTTTTGACAGCTCATGAACGCATTCTTTACATTGAGGTAAACACAAGGGGGTAGACATGATTCAAATGATTCGTTATAATTCATTTGTGATTTGAATGATTTAAATCTATTTGACAAGTGACTTTACAATACTAAAACAAAGCATAGAATTCTATATCAATATTTGTATTTTTTTTTTAAGCAGGCAAAAACCTTTTTTCAATTAAAAAAATCAAGTATATTTCGTTTATGAAACACATTTCGAAAATATTAAATCTCTTTGTATTTTTATTCTTTAACTTGATTTTTTTTTATATAACATGCATGCAAAGTGTCACACGAACTGTCAAGCGGTGATTTGAAATGATTCGAAAAAATTCAAAATGATTTGAAATATTTATAATTTACTCGCAATAATTTAAAGAGATTTATTTTTTTCGTATAGATTTGTTCTTTTGGATTGCGTGTCTACCCCCTAGGGTAAACAATACAAAATATCGAAGTTGAAATTATTAGATTGATATATTTTTGATGCATATTTAATTTTATTTATTTTTTCATAATAAAATGGCAAAAATATTTAAAAATATTACGTTATTTCACTGATCTATAATATTTTTGGTTTGAATTTCACAATGATCCAAATACGACTTTAACTGTCACATCTGTCAAATCCAAAGTATTTCACTTGAAACTTCGGTGCTTTATGTGTCGGCAATTGGACGATTTATTCCGGAATAATATTACAGTGAAAAATGGAAAATAAATATAATTGTTTTTCTTTATATTTTCAATATTTCTGTTCAATAACTAAATTAAACTATCTACAATTCGCAGACATTTTTTTTTTCCCAAATTAGTTATTTTTTTATATAAATGCATTTTACCGGCTTGTCTCAAAATGACATAGTTTAACTTTTGACGTGAAAAAGTGATAAAAATGCCGAATTTTTTTTGAACGTATTTTGTGAAAGTAATAATAGATTTTTGATTAAAATTTGGATTAAAATAAAGAGATTTGATATTGATTTTTCAATTTTTAATTTCAATTCGCCTCTCGGTATTCCGACATTTGGTCGTGTCTCGACATTTGGCAATCTACAGTATTTTAAAGATTCTGAATTTTTTTAAGAAAATCGATGTCTAAAGTACATTTTTTATGCGTTTAAAGACAAAAGTTCTTGATGTAAACGGGGAAGCACGACTCATAACCTCATGAAGATATAGACATGAAATTTATATTTACCTATAGCAAGGAGGTTTTCATCGATTCCATTTCCCCGCGACATTTTACTGACAAATCACGGGTATTTTTGTACACAATAGTTTTCATCTTGAGTTATTTTTCGCTATTGAAGTTGTCGTGGCGAATTTCAGCTCTGAGCTGACAGATCAAATAAAATTAGCTGCATTTACCGGTACTTACACTTTGCGAAAGGTACTCAAGAAAAAGTTTCCTATCAAAACCTAAAATTCAACAACAAAATAACAACACATAATGTTTATTTTTTTCATATTTTTATATTTTTGAATATATTTTATGTCAAATTTTCAAGTTGATAATTCATTTCCTATGTACACATTAAAAAAAAATATTAAATAGAAGTTGAGAGAAGAAAAAAAACTTTGCAAAATGTCTAAAAATGATTTTCCAATGTAGAAAACATTCAGTATTCATATTCATATTTACAGAGTATCTATTTCGACCTGTTCTCCTGATGAATTTCATAGTATAAATACTCACTTTTAAATATTAAATTGATTTTCAAAAAAAAAAGGAAAAATCGCGGTACAAAATATGAATTACTTATGTTTCTTAATTGCGTTTAACATTTGTTTTTTTTTTTTCATTTTCTTTTTTATTTGATTTGCTGTTCTACATATGTAATGTAAGTGAGGTCTGAATAGTACAGAAACAAAAAAGAAATGCGGTGCAACAAATTGATATTGTCGGTTGTGTTGATTATTGTGATTCAAGCATCAAACTGCATTTTAACTATTGGAAAATTGTATGGCCATTACTATAGCACAAATAATTGAATAAATAATTAACAAACAGTGCGATATAATGATTCGATCACGCGCACATGCGCTGCATTATACAAAACAACTTGAGTCTCTCTCTCTAAATTGAAACATAGTAATTATTCAATCGAAAATATTCATGATTTAAATGTTCTGACTTAGATGTCTTTGCCCATAAAAAAAGAGAACTGTATCTAGTATGTAGTAGTTCATAAATTGAGTTGTGGATTTAACTAGCTGAATATGTATATTTCTGCAATGAAATCCTAAGCTTGGATGAAATTAATATAAATAAAATATAATCACAATGATATATATATATTAAAAAAATGATTCAGGTTTTTATGCAATCGGTGTGAATATTGGCAATTAGATGGACTTATTTTTTTCTTTTCAAATTCACAAATGGAACGTACGAATTTCAATCGAGCATTGAGTCAATTCTAAATCCAATTTCGTTTTAAAAATCAGTTAAAATTGTTCGGAAATAGTATTTATCGGACATTACATAAAAAAATTCTTTAGCAAATAGTATTTACATTCGCTTACACCCTACGATCGTGGCATATTAGCAATTTTAAAAAAATAATAATGTAATAATAATTAAATTTAAAAAATAATAATAATGCGATAGTATTTAAATTAAAATTTATAAAAAAGAGGAGAAATATATTAGAGAATAAATTAACCTGACAATGACTTAAAATGTAAAACTTTTTTCAGTTTCTCTTTTTTTTTCTTTTTTTCTTGTGAGCAGTTATTTTTCCTTCTATGTAAATAACAATGCTTTCACTCTTTTATCGTCATCATCATACTGTGCATAGTGAAATAGTTAAACACACATGACTGTATGGTGTGAATGCCCTTCGTTCACAAAATTATTATTTTTTTTGTGGCTCTTTTGTCAGTTTTGACCAGAGAATGCAAACGATGAAAGAAGAAGAAAGAATCTATCGATTTTCGATTGATCTCTACACGATTTATCCACGCTTTTGCATTACTTTATCTTATTCAATTTTTCTATCCGCTAAATTTGGTTTGATCATAGAGATACTTGTATTCTTCGCTTAATTCATATGTTACTTTTTTTTCTTTAGAAAAATTTAAATGCGTGCCGCTGACTTTTAACACACCGAGAGATAATAACATTGTTTTTTTTTTTTTTTTTTGAATATTTTCACCACAAACATATTACGCCTGTACTCCATTTTATTGCAAAAAGTCAATAATACAAAATTTGAGCGCATTTCGTTCGTCTTTTTTCGTTAATATGTATTTTGTCTACTTGTTGTGTTAATTTGTATCTGATTTTTTGAATTTATTTGACTCGATTTGAGTGTGACAAAAAGTATTGTAAAATTTGACGAGTTAAAGGTTTTTTTCTACAATTTTTACATTGCTTCTAAATACAATTGGAAAAAAGTGTTAATTTCTTTTTCTCATAACATATACAGTATTTTCTATCCGTGCAGTCTGAATCAAAATGTTTTTTTTTTTTTTAATGAATACAATTTTTTTTCTTATAGTACTAATTTTAAAGGCGAGGTTGCATTCTCCCTCTTTCTCAATCTCTATGTCATTCAATATACTCAAATTCTCTTTCACTCATTCACTCTTCTATCCATCTCCTTCCATTTCTTTCGGTCTGTCCCATATACTCGAATAATCAATTACAATTTGTTATTGGTTGGTTATATCTAATTTTCTTTTTATCAAATTACACTAAATGCATTTTGCTTAAGTTTTCGTTCGTTTAAGTCTTCCTATTGAGTTAGAAATTCGATTTTACAAATGAAGAAAAAAAAATGTTTCGGTACAACATTTTATGGAAAATATGCATATCATCATGGAAAGCAATATTGTGGTAAAAAAACTAGAAATGTTTATTTTCTTTTAATTCGCAGTTTTGTTCTTTCTTATTTATAGTCGCCTTTAAATTATTATTCCCTCTAAAACTAAATTGTGTCCATTAAATTATCTGTTATTTTTCTGATTTTTTTTTTCTCTGAATGCATTGATTGTTGCATTGTTTTTTTTTTTTAGTTTTTTTTTGTTTAAATTTTAAGTTGGGTGATTTATCAATTTAAATTATTATATATTAATAGCACAGCACTACATATGAGATGGATTACAAAGGCCAAATGGTTTTCGCGGTGATGTTGAGGCGGGTGTATAACATAGCAGAGCATCGCTGGCCATACAATTTGATGTATTACCATTACTGCAATTGCTACCATTGCCAATGTACGATATCCTTTTGTGATCGCCATTCGTTCCGTTCATGTAGTCCTTTGTGTGTATTATTTGTGAGGCTCGATGCATTAACGATGGATCGGTGTTTAATTGTTTTTGTGATTTGGCCCGTTGTAATGGCGCACATTGTGTGCCAGCTGCAGCCGCGGTCGACGATGAAAAATAATCGGTTTCATTACAATTCGTACCATAGCAACTAGTATTCATCAAACATTCATCAACACTTGCCGAACTCGAAATATTGTTTACACTTTTATCCCATGTATTTTTTATAATTGTTGGATTGCTATTATCAAATGTAAGACCAGTGCTGGAGCTTCGTTTCGATGAATTTATTGAATTTGCATGATGAAGTGTGGCTGTTGCATTTCGTTCATTTTGTTTACGAGCTTCGGCATCCTCTTTTTCTTGATCACGCTTTCGCTTACGTTTCATACAATATACAACACATGCGGCAACAATGACCACCATTGGCATGGCAATTGATAAAATTGCGATAAGCGCCACTTGTCCTTTGCTGAGTCCATCATTTGGATGAAGTTGATGAGCTTGAGTCGTTGAGACATGTGATGCTTCATCTTCGCATTGTTGACCACGAAAACCACCTGGACAAACACATTGATAGCTATTCACCCGATTTACACAAGTTCCGCCATTTTTGCATGGCATAGATTTGCATTCATCAATGTCAATGCTGCAATCTTTACCGGTGAAACCTAGACGACATGTACATCGATAGTCGTTGTTAGTGCTTATGCATGAACCACCATTTGCGCATGGTTTTGTCAAACATAAATCGACTTTATTTTCACATCGTGTTCCAATAAATCCCGGCACGCATTTACATCGATATTGATTCACCATGTCAATGCATGTGCCACCATTCATGCACACATTTCCATCGCAATCGTCAATATTCACTTCACATGTTTCACCAATAAAACCCATCGGACAGTCGCATTTAAAACCATTTTCAATGTTTGTGCATTTTCCATTATTTTTGCATGGATTCGGTTTGCATTCGTTCATTTGAAGATCGCAAAATTTGCCACTGTAGCCAGCCGTACATGTGCAAATCATACCATTTGATGTGTCGCTACAACTGCCATGGATACATGGTTTATCGGCGCATGTTACAGTTTTCTCTTCACAATGTTTGCCTGACCATCCGTTTGGACATTCGCATCGGTAGTATTTACGAAATGGATCGTCTATACAGGTTCCATCATTCAAACATGGATTATCCACACAACTTTCCATTTGGATGTCACAATCTTCGCCCGTAAAACCGGGCGGACAATTACAGGTATATGATCCAGGACCAGTATTGAAGCAAGTGCCACCATTTTGGCAAGGTCGATGATTTGTGCAGTAGTTTAAATCTTGGTTGCACAGCAATCCACCCCAACCTTCTTTGCAACGGCATTCCCATGGATTTTGACAAGTTCCGTGAAGACAATTTGGATACGGTTCACATTGATCGCAATGGGCACCCTTCCAACCTGCTTTACATCTGAAATTACAAAAAAAGAAATCATACGGTCAGTTATTATTATTTTGAATGGATTTTTTTTAATGAGACACATTTATTATTGCAAAAGTTAATTAAATTAAACGACACACAATAAAATTAAAACTCATTAAAACAAACACACGAGACAAAGAAGAGAGAATGACCATTTGTTTTATTTGTGTGATATAATGGAGGAAACGATTTTTTTTGTTTACATTCAAAACAAATGAAAAATTGCTCGCGATGAGATGCATTCATGGTTTTAATTGCACATGGGAATGTTGACGAAGAGAAAACGCCACACGAAATAAGATGCCAAAACAAACAGACAAACAAAAGAGAAACGGTAACAACAACAATATTGTCGATGCAAGTGTTTTCCGCTTGAATGAAACAATAAATGAACAATTTTCAAATATTCAAAGCAAATATTTAATTATCGAACTGAAAATGAAGACATTCAAATTATGAAAATGTGCGAAACATAAACAACTCAGACAGAATTTTTTATGTTTTTGTTTACCGAACGCCAATATTGTTTGATTATCTCTCTCTATCTCTTTTTGAAAATTCAATCTCTATGTTCTGTCGCCGTCATTTATGTGTTTGTTTCATGAAATTGTGAAACGGTTTCCATATTTTAATAAGCTTTTAATTAACACACGGCATTTTTTTCCTTGTGTTCATTCGGTTTATATGTTTCAATGTTTATCCTCCTCATTTTGTGTGTGTCGAGTAAATGTCGAATGGCTTAATAAAGCGATGAAATTTTTATTTTACCAATAAAAATAGCTTCACTTCAGAGACCATTTCAAACAATGTTCTTTTTTTGTTTGTTTTTCGGTTTCCTCCAGAAATAATGAAACCCAACACACAAAATATATGTTCTGCGAATTGTTTGATTGTTTCAGCTCGTTCAACAAGATGCAATAAAAAACAAACATTCCTTAAACTGCCATTAATTGCTGCAATAATTTAGTGAGGAAAACAATTTGTCTTTCAAATTTTGGCCAGTCCGAATGTTGTGTGTGTGTGTGTGTTTTGAAGTGTGTTTGCAATTTCACATCATCTCAACTAACAAATGATATAGAGAGTGAGAGAGGAGAAAATGAGAGAAGATTTGAAGGCACAGGATTATGTTCATAAAATTACAGTGTTGCTGAATGCTTGCTTGCTTGATGAATTTCAGAGATTTTATTAAGTCAAACGAAGCGAACGACAAAATGATCAAAAACATGAAAAATGCGGTTAATTAGCTAGTGCTATGTATAGCAATCAACCTGAGAATCATTTTATGTGGTTATGATGCGCGCGCGCACTCAACCGCTTCAAACGGACAATATAAATACAGAGAATTTTCAAATGAAACGAAAAAAAAAACGAATTGTTGACGGCAAGAGGAAACCGATTAGGAATTGAAACGATCCCAAAAAGCAGAACGAGTAAGAAAACCGAGCCAATAACCGAATTTCATGAGCCGCATTTGTATCATTTTGTCAGCAATGACAAATTGCTGTGGTTGTTAATTTTTTTTTGTTCCTCGTTCATTTTTTTCCGTTCGTTTAATGAATGCAAAACGGAATCTCTTTCTTTTTCTTTTGAAACTTTCGGAAGAAAGAAACAAATCATGTCAAATGAAATGTGTGGCTGGTATATTGCATCAATCTATTGACATTCGTTTATTCATGATTCATTGACAACACACATTTATTAAACAGCCTAAACTTTGCTTTACGCCGAATGTAAATATTAAAACAAAATCAAGAATGATTAAGATTTTTTTCTCAACTTTTTTCTCCCGTTCAGAGGCATCAATCGTTCACAACTCTTTGAACATTTTTTATCTTGATGGACCTACTTAGCAGTTAAACAGTTTGTTCTTCTGTGTTTTCCACGTTCATTTTTTTCGGGTTTATTTCTTTGTCATTGTTTCATTAGTTCATATTTTATAAGATCGTCTTAACTGCTTGTTTGGTCATGTATCTTCATTGGTCTTTGCGCTTGGATTCTTTTGTTTCGTTGGCCATTTTTTCCCCGGCTTTTGTGCGTGTGCATTGTTCTTCTTTTTCTTTTCTTTTTCTTGTGCGAGTGATACCTTTTTCGGTTAGTTAAGTCAATATTGTTGCTGTTTTTGTATATATATATTTGGGCACCAATTTGTTGTATATTTTGAATTACATTTCCATTCGAATTTTCCCAGACTTTATTAATATCGTATATATGTTTTTTTTTTTGTCATAAAGTCATAAAAAAATGTTTTATTTTATTTTATTTTTTAAATTCGTTTGTATGTTGTGTGTGCGTGCATTTTTGTATTGTTTCAATCGAGATGTTCTTTTGTAATTGGGTGATCTAATACACCTGTCTTTGCTACTTGCTAAGACCTAGCGATTGCTCGCCAAGGCTAGTGGCCATTTTTTCTTATTTCTGAATGAGTTTGGTGCAGAAAAAAATACATACAAAGAAATTGGACGACATCAGGAGTGGGTCGAAATATGAGTGAAAGAGCAAAAAAAAATGATTTGATAAAATGACAGTGTTGGGCAAGAGAATTGAACTCAAAACAAATAGAAACATAGCATACACAAATAATAGCATGGCAAACATTGAACAGTGCATAGACTAAATAACTGGTATTCATTTTAATGCTATTGTATACGAACATATGCTATAATTAAAGCTGAAAACCATTCTTGATCACATTGAACAATAGCATTCAGTCTCCGAAATGCACATATTCTCCATAACATTCCACATTCCACTCTATACAAAACGACCGCCCGCCCGCTCGAAATACATAAATAGCTTAATTTTTATCGTTATTCGAAAACGCACGCAGACATGAACCGAATGCAAAACTTAGCTGAAAACAGTTGATTCGTGTGTATTTCGTTGCATCGCATGATGAATGGAGGAAATTCGACAGGAAAACGGATTTTGTTTACTTAAATTTTAAGCAAACAAATTGCATTGTTCAGTTTTAAACTAAGCGGAATTTTGTCGCTGGAGGAACAAAGACACCAAATTAAGTAAATATTTAACGATAGAAAGTTCTGCTCCATTTGAGAGAAAGACATACAAAAAATGAAATCAATAAAATGTTAACTAGTTGAATTATGTGAAAGGAAAAGGGCAATGCGATCCACATTTTTTTTGTCTGTTTAAATGAGAATATCTTGTGCACTCGTTATGCGTTGTCAACGGCCAATGGCATTTTGTTTTCAATTGGCAGGCATAAAGCGATTCTTTGTGGCGTCTTCAAATGTTTTCAAAAAAAAAAAAATGTATGATGAATATGCACAGAATACACAATTATTTCCCACACTTAAGAATTTACAACTTTTCCATGAGTGTTAATTTCTCGGATCTATGTCTTTCGTTCTTTCTCGCAATCGTAACTCGATTTTTTTTCCGAAGCGCTTCTGTCTTCAACTGAATCAAATCAAATGCGTTGCATAATTAGAATTTTATGTCAAACGATCACAGGTGTCTGAAATTTTATGTTTATTTAATTATTGCCACCGGCCAATGGCAACTGCATATATAAAAGCCATTCGATCAAAATCAATGTCTCATCTGAAAACAGTGAGTGCGTGTATGCACAGTGCGCACACATCGTGCATTGAATTGAATACTAATTGGCCATCACAAGCACAAAAACTTTTGGGAATATTGTTCAACTGATGTTGTTCGTTGTTGTCGTTGAAAGAATGTATTTCCATTTTAAGTGAAGCTCGATAAATTCGTGTGATATTTTGATTGGTGATCGAATTGAAATTTGTCGTTTGATCGATGAAATGCCCATTTATATGTACAATTGGTTCCACATTTATCGGACATCGGCTTCAAGTTTTGATATTGAATAATGGGTAATAATTGAAACATTTGCTTGACATAACACTAAAAACGTGCCATTTTATTTTGCGCTCGTAGAAATTCAAAAGCCGTTGCTACTGCCATTTTTTTCCGGTAATTTTTCAATGGAAATAAAGAACCATTTGTTATGACCATAAATATAAACTTCATTATTGATGTGAAAATGCATGGGAAAAACCTCTCTCTTTTCCCTTCAGATCTGCTATCAAAATCTATAATTATTTCATTGAAACACTTTCATCCTTACTTATCGTACACGTAATGTCTCCCTCTTTGTGTCGTTTTGCGAGCAAAAAACATTATCATAAAACCGTTAGTGTTGCCAACACATTTGGCACATACAAAATTTACCAAAAAAGATCCTCGTTTCGATTTACTGTTATGCCAAACCGTAATTAGCATATCAACATTGTAAATTGAATGAAGAAAAGATGAATTTGAAGCGACTGTCGAAATTGAGCAGAGAGAGAGAGAGAGAAACAATTTTCATCCAAAAAATTAATTAGCGAATAAAAAAGTATATATATTATATATATAAAATGTGTATAATGGTTAATTGTGTTGATGGGACCAGAAGCAACCAAGCGATTCTTTTATTTTCGTTTCTTTTTTTGAGAGAATTCGAAAGAAGGTAAAACACATTCATTCGTTTTGGCTCATGAATATCTATGCATATAAAAATAAAAACAAAAATATTGTTCCATTTTTTTTTTGCACAACACAAATAGTTCATTCACAAAATCGAAACGAAACGAACAGAGAAGTTAAAAAAACCGAACTCACAATTCGGGGGCTCATGCAATTCCCAAAAAGGTTGCTTGAATACCATATTCGTTAAAATTTTAATCATAGATATGAATGCGTTTGCTCACTCTCGTTTTGCGCACCACATACACACACTCACACACAATCAGACAATTTTTTTATATTAACATATTTCGTACGGAATTCACAACCTTTCATTTCTTTTTCGGTGTTTCTTTTGGCATTTCTTCTTGTGTTGTGCGTTCGTTTTTAAATTGGATGAAAACAACATTAACCGTAGTTGGAGTGTGCACACGCGATAAAAATCCATGGCCAATTTGTACGAACGCGGTCGCATGATATACTATTATGGATGGATGATTTTTATGATCGGTTTATTTCGTCGTGTCGAAGCATTTGTGTGTGTGTGTTTTTTTATTCATTAATTTTTTGTCCAAAAATACATTTTTTTTCGGGAATTTCATAAACTGTTTATTTGACGGTTATTCATAGAATCTGGTTTATTGCGTAGTGTCAAAATCAATGTATTGTGAACAGGTAATAGAAACGGACACGTGTTGATATTAATAATTGTGTTTGTTTTTCAAATGAGCTTTTTCTTTTTCATTTACGACCAAAGTGCTAGACTCTGAATTCATAAAATTAACTAATTTCGTCAATAAAAAAAATATGACTGCTTAAATGAAAATATTTTTAATTGTCTACTTACGTGCATTCGTTTGGTGTATTACATTGACCATGCTGTTCGTTACAACCGGGTGCACATCGAGCTGTAAAGAGAGAAAGATAGAAAAAAAAAACATCCACATTTAGAAATATTTTTGCAGTAAACTAGAAAAAAATATAAAAGTCATAACTCTGTTTTAATTAAATTTTGTGAGTATAATGTGTATGCCAAATTCATTAATTTTGACAAATATTCTTTAAAAGAAGTCGATTGTAATATGTTGTATTGTGAAAATTATGCGACATTGTTTTGACATGTAAAGTCAGTGTAAACCGTCTGGTAAATTCAATTCATTCAGCGTAAAATTCATTATCTTCATTCGTAAACAAACCATATAGGTATGGTTTGTCGCCAACTGCATTTTATCGACAAAAATGAGCAACAAGCGAATATTTCATAACAATTAAATGCCCGTATGCGTTGTAATATTGTTCGTCATTCAATACGCGTGATTTTGTCCGTGGAGTATGTGAGACCAGCATAACATGCGTCGAACCATGTTGCGATAACAGGACCAAAATAAGAGAGCTAATTTATAGGCGACCAACAAAATGAATTCACATTCGTTGTAAACAACAAAAGAAGAGAAACATAAAAAAAAGAGCCCACAGCATGTTTATCAATGGGCTTAAATAGTGCGGAAAGGGAAAGTTTTGATAAAAATTCACAAACAAATGTGTTAGAACAAAATAAAAAGGGTTTTGCATAATACAAACGTGCAAACAATATTACAATATTATTTTAGTGTCAATTGAATGATTTGGGTTCGATTGAATTCATAACCGTATGAAAATGAATGGTGCAACAAGCACATGTACAACAATGATATTGTACGTGTATGGAAATCATCCTGTCAGACATACGCAGTCTGCATTCGTCAACAATAAAGCAACAGTCTTCAGCAGATGCCGAACTCCAGTAGTGTTGTACACACACACACGCACACACTCGCATGTAAAGAGTGACAATAAAACATGGCGACGGTGTATAAACAAATTATGGTGGTGGTGGCGGTGGGCAATAACAACAGCAAAATATTCGATTCGTGAGAGGTGATCGACTGATCGTTTATTGAATAGCCATGACCCTTTCGTCAATTTACCACCTGAATGCCTCTTTCCGGCGTGCACATTTTCTGTACGATGTGAATGAAACGCGTGTATTAACAATTGCTTACGATATTTTACGCAGTTCGAAATTCTTTACCTGATTATATTTACATTGCATTTTGCTAATCACGTGGCGCATTCAGTACGCATAGAATTGTTTATGAAAATCGCTTTTGTTTCTCTTTTTTTCGTTTTTCTTTTTCGTTTTCAATTCTTGTTTCAGCTGTCCCTCATTTTTCTGTTGTATCGGTCGCTATATTTACAATTATTATCATATCTACAACTTCTGCATCACTTAGTTCTGCTTTAAACATCGTAAATTATTTTATAGTAACATGTAGCTCGGTTTGTTTTCATTTTTATATTTATTCTATTCTCCAACGACGGGAGAAATGACAAAAAAGGTATGCGCTCGAAGTGTGCGCGTGTGGAATAATTTCTAGTTGATTTCCAGCAGAAAGAGAATTATCTGGCTTGCGCCATTAGTTTGTTGCAATTTTTTTGTTGCTGTTATTGTTATGTTTTGCTATTTACCACCATTCCGGTGTTGTGCTTATGACGCCATTTTTCCCTTTAAATCTATTGGATTACAGCGTGGAGGCGATGAACACGCAAAATGAGACTTGCATTTTAATTACGTTTATTGGTTTTCAAAACACTTGTTTTTTTCATTCCATTTTGATATGGTCGTACAATTTTGTTTTTTCCTGCTTTTATGCCCATTTCTCTTTGCTGCTGTTGTTATTGTTTACTGTTACACAGCACTGGTTACGATGATGATGATCTACAATGCATTTTAGAAACATAGATTGTGCCGGTTATCGTCAATGTTTTCTCCCTCACAATTTATGCTATATTGCATTGCTGATTGTTCCTTTTCTGATTTCTTTTGACCATCTTCACATTTCCACGATTTTTTTACTCGTCTTACATGTACGTTTCTTATTCGGTAGAGCGTTTAATTCACTCGGCGAATGCTGCATATTTTATGCACTTCGCTTTTTCCTCTCTTTTTTCCTCTCTCTCGCTATCTCTTTTGCTCTGTCTCTCTTTAAATTGGAAACGATTCTTTTTCAAATGAAATTCTTGAAAAATGAAATCTACCTTCACATTATAGATTTTATTCGAATAAAAAACAAAATTTCGACGGAAAATAACAGGAAAAAATCGTAATCTACTCCGTCTGACTGCAGGCTGTGCAGATGTTTTGGACAAGAAATGTTTTTTTCCACTTCGGTTTTGTAAATTGAAAAGCAATTTAAGTGTTAAATGTGTTATCCTTTTTTTATTAGCCGAAGTTTGGTAAAAAAAAAGAGTAATCAAGTAAAAAACCCTTTTCTCAGGAGGAACCAAAGGAAGACACGTCGATCATGAATTTGATGTCATTCGTTAATTACATACTTTTGACTGTCAAGCGCACGTTTAGTGTTTTATCCAAAACATATGGAAGATTATTATAGTGTAAGAAGTGTTCTATTTTTAAAAAAAAAGAAGGCGTCAGACGAAACTTTAAAAAAAGAACATCTCCAAGTGTGTACATATGTGGACATTGGGAACAAAAAACACACAGAGGCAGAAAAAAGCAAAGACGTTGTAGAACAAGGTCTGTGTTGCAAGGCGATGGCAATAAATCAGCCATCGAACAGTCGATTTCCTTAATAGAATTCATGCTCATTTTCAAAGTCAAGAACATAACGTGAATTTCACACATGCGTGTGTTTCAAAGATTCTGTCAACCGAGAAGTGAATTTAATGAAATAATTTTCAGCAGACATTCATTTTGTCCGTTGGAATGTTAAAGTCGAGTGTGTTTCCCAGAATTTTTTTTGGATATTTTTTTTTTCATTTTGTGGTTTCGTTGAATAATGAACAGGGAAAAAAATTGGAAAATTCGAAAAGCCGTGAAATTTATTTGTCTACGCTTGTAGATTTAGCGTTGACGCTGCCTTTTTTTATTTTTCACTGGATGATTAAACACAAAAATAACATGCGAAAGGAAAATACTTTGATCAGATTTTGTAAGCGACGAAAAAAAAAGAAGAGAAACTATGCATTGAAATAATGTAAATAATCGACGACGCACCAAACCCATCACACAATAGCAACAATTATCGAATCTATTGGGCAACATAATGGTAGCAACTACAACAATGCCAAAGGTAAATAATCAATTTGTAATCAATTAAATATTCGTTATAAAAGCTTACGGAACGAATTCAATCTGACAAATGTGGAAACGGAATTCGGTTGGGAGAAAGAGAGAGAGAGGAAGATTGAGATTGAGGAGATAGAGAGCTCGAGAATTTGTTGATTGATCAGAGAGATGTGGTTTTGTTGGGTGGTACATTTAGTCAAATGAAAGCAATATTAATGCGTTGATGTGGAAACACACAGTGAATATGGTAATTATATCATTGATGCGTTGATTTGGTAAAATTAAAATGCAAGAGTCTTTTCTTCACAATCAACGGCAGACAGACACAGTAATAGCAGCACCAACAGCAATGAATGTGACGAATGTTAAATTGAAAATGTTGAGATTATAATGGTAGCGAAGAATGTGTTGGTAATATTTTGTGCTCTCTCATTCTGGCCATTTCGACGCTGACCGTGAATTCGTCGACCATATTTCAAGATAAATCAATGAAGTCGGATGAATAATTTATGGTAATAAAAATCCATTACATATTCCTTCGTTTTGTTCATTGTTGGCGATCAAGTGAAGAAAAAAAAGGCAAGCGTTAAGACTAACAATAGGTTTATTTTTATGTTGTGCGTTTGTCTGTAGCAGTCATTGCAGGTGAACACAGTGGTGATGATAATTTTTTTTTAAAAAAAGAAAGGGTAAAGAAAAAAGCGATCAAATAATAAATTGATGATAGAGATATCTAGAAATGTCAGCAGCTTCGAGGACATCAATCATGTATTTTGTTTTTATTCATTTCATTATATTTAAATGGTTCTAAAAATAAAAAACCATTTTTTGATAAGGGCACATGAATAAACAAGATACGAAAAATGAGACATATCAAAAAACGGCACCCAACACAACTTTATTTGTTTTCTTCTTTTTTTTGTTGTTGTTTAATTTTAAATTTGAAATCGAAACTCATCATGTTTGGAGCATAAAATCTGTGGGATGCCCGCATCATTTCATTAAAAGAACATCGTAATGCGACCATAAGAATATCGACGATTCATGCAGTAGCCGGTTAACATATATAAACGTAATACCGTGCCCATTTCATTTGATGTGTATAAATGAAACGAAACGGAATAGCAATATCATAGTCACAGCATGCTGTTAAGATTGATTTTTAGAACAGTTTTACCATGAGTAATCAATGAATAAAACAAATTTATTTCGCAAAATAAAATGATTGCCAACATATAAAATGAAATGTCTTGCCAGTTGTTTCGCATCACACGAAGAGGAAAGAAAGACAACAACATTGATAAAACAAATCAAAGAGAGAGATCTCAAATAGAGAAGATCAAGTTCAACAAGTGCTGGAATGACGAAGCCGAACAGCATCGATATATACATGTACACAATTATATCATGTATAACGCACGTTTATACACGGGGAGATACGGTGATGCGCGGAGATGGCAATGTGAAGTGGACACCCAACAAACAAAGGAACAAGAGATGATGAAACACGAGAAGAAGCAGAAGAAAATAACAAGACAAGAAATAAGACGAAGAAAAAAATACATAAAAAGAAAGAAAGAAAGCAACAAGCATTCAAGACGATGCATAAGAACATCGCTTTAGCTAAATAGCTTTAGATTAAAAGTTCCCATCGTTTATAAAACACATTTAAATGCGGTTGCATCCATCGGCGAGGCTGCAATTTTATTTCTATTTGTCTTGCTCGTTGTAGTGTTTTTTTCCCTTCTTATATTCCATCTCGGCGTTTTGCTGCGCAGC